GCTGGACTCCATGTCTCCATGCTCTTGCAGCAGCTGCCATGCTGATGCAAGAAGCAAAAATGTTCACTTTAGGACAATCTATCACCGTCCACTCCCCCCATCGCCTTAGTGAGCTCGTCACACATAAGACTCTTCCAGGTCTAATGACTCTTTCTCTATACAACAAATTCACCTACTGTTCACAGAAGACCCTCCCATCACCATCTCTACCTGTAGCCCTCTCAATCCCACCACCCTACTCCCTAACTCTGATGAGGCCCCCCAACACAGTTGTGTGGAGGCCCTACAGATGATCCCGACTCCTTTTCCCACAGCCTCAGACACGTGGTTTATAGATGGCAGCTCAACAAACACAGACACCCAAAAACTGGCAGCATACGCTATAGTCAGTGGGTCAACTGTGACAGAGGCAAGTCCGATACTACCTGGGACATCTTCACAAAAGGCAGAGCTCACAGCCCTTACATGCGCCCTCACGCCAGCCAAAGACAACATTATTAACCTCTATACAGACTCTAAGTACACCTTTAGTATCCTACACTCCCATGCTGCCATCTGGCAGGGAAGAAGGTTCATCAGCACCCCAGCCCCTCCCGTCACCAATGCGCCTCTCATTCTTAAACTTCTCAAAGCAGCATAGTCCCCCAAGCAGGTGGCAGTCATTCACTGCAGGGGACAGGACGCCCCATCAGATCCCATTGCCCAGGGTGATGCTTTCGCTGATACTCAGGCCAAATTAGCTGCGCACCACGGCCACTCCCTTCTCGCCTTCTCCCTCTCATCACAAAGACCACCGTATTCCCTCTATACTCACTAGAACAGCTACAGCTGCTCCAAAGGCCTGACTATCACCAGAACACGCAGGGATGGATCTTCCAAGGGCCGCAACTCCTTCCAGACCAACAGGCACAAATTATTGCTGACCTACACAATGGCTTTCATGTAGGTCCTCAAGTGTCATACAAACTCTTAGCCGCAATCACCACATACCCCTCCCTAAAACGTCGTTTGCCAGGTTATTCAACACTGCCAGCTCTATGCCAAAACCTCTCCTCATGGACGCTACCACCTCCCTCCTTCCCAACGCACCAGTTTTCGTGGACACACCCCAGGTGAGGACTGGCAGATAGATTTCACACATATGCTTCACCACAGATATCTTCTCACTTTTGTCTGCACCTTCTCAGGGTGGATAGAGGCCTTCCCCACTACTCGAGAAGCAGCAGACGTAGTTGCAAAGCTTCTCATACAAGATATTATTCCTAGATTTGGGCTGCCTCAAACTATTCAGTCTGATGATAGCCCAGCATTTATCTCCCAAATCACCCAACAGTTGCTTCTAATTTCAACATTACTTGGCATCTACACATACCCTATCATCCACAATCCTCTGGAGAAGTCAACAAGACAAATGGGCTTTTAAAGACTCACCGCACAAAGCTTACCTTAGAGCTCCCCCTGGCCTGTCCCCAGCTTCTTCCTTTAGCCCTAACCAGACTCAGGGCACTTTCCAGGGCTCCCACGTTTCTAAGTCCATTTGAGCTCATGTATGATAGATCTTCTCTGCTTCCCAGCTTCCCAGCTCCTGATAACCTC